CTCCTGACAAGGCTAGGCCCCCTGACCCTTTGCCTTGATCCCATCCTTGAAACTCCTTAAAAGACAGAATCCCTGCTTTTGTGTGCGCCTCCCCTCTGGGGTTGCCCACACCCACCTTCTTTGAGTGTGTCACTCTCTCTGTCCTACTCCAGACAAGTAGGGAGGGGCTGCTGAGAGCTCTGATTTGGGCTTGCAAGTTCCCATCGCCTGGGTGACCTGGACAGAACTGCAGCTCTATGATCATACTCCTTAGCAGCCTGCCTGAAAATCTCTTTCCTTTGCCTTTAGGAAGTTCTCAGAACATAATGTCACTCCATCCAGTGCTCTGCAGCTCCCCCAAATCCTGGGGTTTTAGGGATTTAGTTCCCATCATGCAGATTCAAGTGGACACTGGACACCAGGTGACACTGGCTTTAGGAGTTGGCAAGGGATCATCCCCTATGCCGAGCAGCAATTCAGTGCACCTCCCTTTCCTCCGTCTGCTTTTCCTTCCCCTCTGCGTTATTCAAGTAAACCTGCCTTTATCTACCTTGGCTGTAGCCCTTTCCTCCGTTAGAGGGTACTCAAATAGAACGTTCATTCTGCTGCACTACTGTGTCTCTGGCCTTCAGTTCTTTGTTGTGGTGGGACAAGAACAAACTCCCTGAGACTCCAGCACTTCCAGTTGTCAGAAAGAATGGTGGGCTAAGAAAGTGGCAAACATGTTAAGTCAAAATAAATACAGCTGGTTTAAAGCAATAATGAAAGTATCTAAATTATGTAATTTAAACAAAAAGTGAAAAAGATACACAGCTACAATTCTATATAGATCATGATGGGTATGATAAAAACCAAAAAGATTTTTAAGGTCTTTTTATTGTAGGGAAGTGAGTGAGGTAGTTAAGATATTGTTTTACATTAAGACTTAAAGTATATATGTTAATAATATATATAAGTATATATGATAATCTTAATAGATGTAGCAAAAGTATTTAACAAAATACAACAATCACAGTAAAGGGTCTCAGCAAAGTAGGAATAGAAAGGAATTTCCTTAACCTGATTAAGAGTATCTATAAAAACTCTGCAGCAAACACCTTACTTAAAAATGAAAGAGAATCCAGTGAAATAAGCCAGACGGAGAAAGACAAGTACCAAGTGATTTCATTCATTTGTGGAGTATAAGAACAAAAGAAAACTGAAGGAACAAAACAGCAGCAGAAGCACAGAACCCAAGAATGGACTAATGGTTATCAAAGGGAAAGGGACTGGGGAGGACAGGTGGGAAGGGAGGGATAAGGGTGGGAAAAAAAGAAAGGGGGCATTACGATTAGCATGTATAGTGTTGCGGGGGCAAGGGGAGGGCTGCGCAACACAGAGAAGACAAGTAGTGATTTTACAGCATCTTACTAAGCTGATGGACAGTGACTGTAATGGGGTTTGTGGGGGGGACTTGGTGAAGGGAGAAACCTAGTAAACATAATGTTCTTTCTGTAATTGTAGATTAATGATACCAAAATAAAAAAATTAAAAAAAAAAGATTCTCAAAAAAAAATGAAAGCGAATCCTTTCCTCCAAAGATCTGGAAAAAGACAAGGCTGTCCAGTGTCACCACATTTATTCAGCTTGTACTGGACGTTCTAGTCAGGGTAATAGAATTGAAAAAGAGAGGAGGGAGGGAAGAAATTAAAAGGCATCCAGATCAGAAAGGAAAAAGCAAAGCTGTCTTTATTTGCAGACAACATGATCATGTACGTAGAAAATCCTAAGGAATTTACACACACGCACACACACACACACACACACAAATGCAAGAACTAAAATGTTAGTTTAGCAAAGTTGCAGCATGTGATACTTTAAATTATATACCTATATATTGGCCACAAACAATCAGAAATTAAAATTTTAAAAGCCACTAAAATACCACACAATATTAAATACTTAGAGGGAAATTTGACAAAAAATGTGTAAAACCTGTACACTGAAAACTATAAAACATCACATAAAGAAATGAAAGAAAACCTAAATAAGTGCAGATATATCCCATGATCATGGGCTGAAAGACTTGATATTAAGATGTTAGTGCTCCCTAAATTGATATATAGATTCAGTGTCGTTTTGTAGAAATTAACAAGTTGGTTCTAACATTTATAAGGAAATGGAAAGAATTGAAAAGAAAAAGAGGAGGAAAGTTGGTGGGCTGACACGACCTGATTTCCAGGTATACCGTAATGCTGCTGTGATATCAAGACTGTGGTATTGGCCTAGAGATAAACATACAGATCAATGCAACAGAATAGTGTCCAAAAGGGCACCCACACACATGTGGCCAATTGGTTTTCAATTAAGGTGCCCAAGGATTCAACAGAGAAAGGATAGTTTTTTCAGCAAATGGTGCTGAAATCATTGGATAGCTGTATGGGAAAAAGAAAAATAAAGTGTGCCCTTACCTCACACCACGTACAAAAGTTAACTCAAAATGGATCATAGACCTAAATGTAAGAACTAAAACTGTAAGACTTCTAGAAAAAAAATTTGGAGGAAATCATAGTGACCTTGGTTTTGACAAAGATTTCTTAAATATGACACAAAAAGCATGAAATACAAAGTTAAACAATCAGATTGGACTTCAGGAAAGTTAAATATTTTTTACTCGGCAAATGATACTGTTTCAAAATAAAAAGCAAGACAGACACAAAGAAAATATTTGGAAAACGTACATTCAACAAAATACTTGTTTTTAAAATACATAAAATCGCTTATAATTTTAAAATGTCCATCCAGCATTTTCTTAGAAGGCAAATGCTTGATTGGAGAGTTCACTAAAGAAATATATGGATAACTAATAAGCATATGAAAAGATTCTCAGAAAACCTCTTGCAAGACTTATACGGAAAAATATAAAGTATAAATAAGCAACATAATTAAGAGGGAAAAATTACTAAAGTTATAGCACATATTAAAAAGATAAAAGAACTATCTTCAACTTAAAGTTGAAAGATTTGAAAACTTGCAAAGTTTTCAATTTTGATGAAGTCCAATCTATTTTTCTTTTGTTCCCTGTTCTTTTGTATCATAGCCAAGAAATCATTACCAAATCCAATGTCACAAAGCTTTTGCTGTTTTCTTCTACGAGTTTTATAGTTTAACTTTTTAATTTAGGTAGTCAATCCATTTTGAATTATTTTTTTATATGGTGAAGGGTAAGGGTCCAACTTCATTTCTTTTGCATTTGAATATATACAGTTTTCCCGGCACCATTTGTTGAAGACTGTCCTTTCCTCACTGGATGGCCTTGGTGCTCTTATTGAAAATCATTACACCATATTTATGAGAGCTTATTTTTCTGGGCTCTCCTATTGTTCTTTTCTATTCATCTATAAGTCTTTATGCCAGTACCACATGGTTTTGATTACTGTAACTTTGCAGTAAGATTTGAAATCAGAAAGTGTTATTCCAACTTTGTTCTCCTTTTTGAAGATGGTTTTGGCTATATGAAGTCCTTTTGAGATTCCATATGAACTTAAGGATGTATTTTCCTATTTCTGTAAGAAGAGAATCAAGATTTTTTGGACATGGGAGAAATATATAAGATGACTGATGTTAGGCTAAAACCCTGTAGTGCTAAATTTTAAAAGAGGTATCAGTATGAACTCCTGGTGCATTTCAGGCGTGTGTATATGTGTGCGTCCTTCTTACTAAAAAGGTAATGACTGACCAAATTGCAGTATGTATCCCTGGCACTCAGACTGTGGTCTCTAAGTACTATTTCCCACTGAGAGGAACCAGGGGTCCATTGAAAGCCGTTCAATCCCTGTTCTTGGACACTACTGGAATTGCATTAAAAGGACTGAAGAAACAACTCGAAAATGTTCCCACTGGCCAAACATGGAGCAATTTGAACTTCAGTAAGAATAATAATGGCAACAGATTAAGGCACATCAAATATGTTTAAATCCATGCATGGATTAAAGTATTTTTTAAATGCCTACTAATCAATTTTGGAAGATGTGAGAGAAGCAAGGCATTATTTTGAAAACTGATAAATTCTGTCCCCTAATCACTTTTAGGCACATACCCAAGAAAACACCTCGATACACATAAAACAGGAGACATTCACAGGAACATTAACAACTCTGTTTATAATAGAAAAACACTGGAATCCCAAATGGCCATCCTCAGGATGAATAAATAAACACACTGCGGTATATTTACTCAACAGAATAGTATACAGCATAAAAAGTGAACTGTGAAACGGATGAATCTTAGTTATACAGAGTGAAAAAAAGTAAAGGTCGTACTAAGTAGACGTTCAGAACTAAGCAAAACCAAACAACCTACTGTGTAGGCATGTATATGTTAGTAAATGTCTTTTCCTTAAAAAAAGTCCAGAGACAAATAAAATTCTGGATGAAAGTGGCCTGGACACGGAGATAATCTGGGGATGAACATGTGAGTAGGTGGGCAAATATAAATCCTGGTGGTGGTCAATCTGCCTCTGAGTTTTGCGGTGGGTGCTCTGGAATTCAATGTATCAATTTAAAAGTTATGTGAATTTTAAAGAGAATCATACAAGGATCAACAAGATTGGGTGTTGGGTGTCATTAACCAAAGATGATAATCAATTCTGTCGACCTTAAATCAGCCTTCTCAAAAAAGTAACCTGGTTTTTCTAATCTGGGCCAGCCACTTGAGAAACTGAAATGAGTGGGAGGGGTGGTAACTGTTTTCACTTTTCTCTTCCTGTTTTCTCAGAGCCTGGGAAAGCAAGTCAGAATTTCCAATCTTTTCCAATTCCCACATGATTCCCTAGTTCAGAACGAATTCTAAAAAAAAAATTTTAAACCCTTTATCTGGGGAAGACAGCACCGCGGAGCATCCTCCTTCTGGGATGAGGAAATCGCCTGGGGCGAGTGGGGGGGGGTGCTCCAGACCCCGCCCTTCCCCTCGCACGAACGCGCCTAGAGCTTGGCCTTGGAGACGGTAACCCCACCGAGAGGTCACTAGGCGGTTAATTAGCAGTAATACTTCGGCGTGGCGCTGAACCCTAGCAGGAGGCCCTTGAGATGAGGGTGCCGGCGGGCGGCGTGACCCCGTGCGTTCAAGCTACTTGGGTCGGGAAGGAGGGGCCCAGGGCCCGGTTCTAGGACACAGGTGTCACACTGCATCGTAAGCCGGGATGCAGATTAAACCCTCGAGCCCTCGGCCCCGCCGCGGGCGGGAGCGGACGCAGCACGGGGCCTCGGTCGCCCCATGAGTGCAGCAGGCTCCGCGAAGCCCACTGTCCGTGCCCTGCCAGGTGCAGAAGTCCAGGCGCTCGCCTTCACTGCACTGCATCTTCATAGGATGCACGGGCAATTTTAAAGTGCTTCTGTGGCGACAGCCACCAACGGGTACCTTTATGATTAGACAACCGTACGGAGTTCAGCTGCCCGGCCTTTCCCTGCGCAGGGCGGGCGGCCGCAGCCCAGCAGCCCTGGCTTTGCTCCAGACCCGGCCCGGGATGACATCACCTAACTCCTCCGATCAGCGAGAGAGGGCCCCCGAAATCCCCTAAAAACATTGTGAGTAATCGCCGGGCCCGCCTTCCAGGCGGAGCCCAGCCCCGGGAGGTAGTCGAGCCGCTCCGCCAGCCCCGGGAGCGGCCTCCGGGCGAGCAGCTCTTCGGCCGCCGCTGTGCGCGCTCTAGACCCCGGCCCCCGGAGGCGGCGGCGGCGGCGGCAGCGGCGCGCGCGGCCTCTTCGTCCTCCACGCGGCGCGCGCTTGTTCCCGGCCCCCTCGCGGGGCGGTGGCAGCAGCGGCGCAGCGCGCAGGCGCGCCTGGATTCCCGGCAGTGACGCGACGGCGGGCGCGCGCGGCGCATTTCCGCCTCTGGCGAATGGCTCGGCTGTAGCGCGCGCCGCGGGCCCAGCTGCGACCCCGGCCCCGCCCCCGGGACCCCGGCCATGGACGGTGAGGACGCCCTCTGACCCCGCGGGGTGGCCGCGCAGGGGCCGCAGCGACTGCGGCGGGAGCCCCCGCGCCGCCTTCCGCCCCTTCCGGCGCCGATGGGCGCTGCGCAGGGAGCGGCCAGCCAGATGGTGGGGCGGGGCGGGGCAGGCGTCGGGGGTCTGACTCGGTTTCCCCTCTGGGTGGAGGAGGCCTTGACCCAGTGTCCTTGGGGGGTGTGGGTGAGCCGTGACTCGGTTTCCCCCGGGGGCCGTGGGGGCAGTTCCCACCTAGTTTCCTCATTGGGGAGAATGTGTCCGACCCGGTTGTCCCTCAGGATGGGGAGCGGGGAGTGCCCTCCCTTAGTTTTCCTTATGAATGTAGAAAAGGCCCTGACTCAGTTTCCCCCAGTAAAGGGAGAACTCCTTACCCAGTTTTCCCTCAGAAAACAGGGGTTTCTGGCTCCTTTACCCGACCCCTGGTTTCACGGCAGATTCCAGCCAACAGGCCCTGACTCAGTTTCCCTCGGAGGGAGCCTGACTCCCTCTGTCCGTGGGGAAGCAGGCCCTCCCTGGTGAGGTGGGAGGCGGGTCGTGCTGACTCCTGTCTCCCTCCTCTTTCAGACCTGTTCCCCCTCATCTTCCCCACCGGTAAGTGGCCCATCCTTTCCCCTTTGGCTGTGGAGGGGCTCCCCGGGTGAGGGGCGGTGTCGGCGGCCGCCTGACGGGGCCTGGCCTGGGTCTCCCTGGCAGAGCCAGCCCAGGCCTCTGGCCCCTACGTGGAGATCATCGAGCAGCCCAAGCAGCGGGGCATGCGCTTTCGCTACAAGTGTGAGGGCCGCTCGGCAGGCAGTATCCCAGGCGAGAGGAGCACGGATACCACCAAGACCCACCCCACCATCAAGGTCAGCTGGGGCTGCCTGGGGTCGGGTGGGGAGCTCAGAGTTACACCCCAGTCTCCAGGCCCATGTGCAACCTGTGTCTGGGAGTTGGGTCTGGAATTCCGGAGCCTCTAGGGTGCTCTCTGTACTTTGGACAGATCAATGGCTACACAGGGCCAGGGACAGTTCGCATCTCCCTGGTCACCAAGGACCCCCCTCACCGGCCTCACCCCCATGAACTTGTGGGGAAAGACTGCCGGGATGGCTTCTACGAGGCTGAACTCTGCCCAGACCGCTGCATCCACAGGTGAGCTCCCCAGGGGCAGGCTGGGCATGGGACAGAGGTGGGAGGACAGGAGGTGCGGCCATTGCTTTTCCCCTCTGGACATAGGGCAGAGTTCCCCACTTTTTGCTCTGTCCCTAGCTTTGCAAGGTTTCTTTTGTCTCGAAGTTATCTGTGTGCCTACTCTATCACACAGATGTGGGCTCCATGGGCTAGACGTGGGTCCCTAATCACCTCCAAACCCCTAACCCCTGTGGCTGGAAGGGAGAATCCCTCGGTGCCACATCTCTTGAGGTGAGAAGGAAACCACAGAACCAACAGTTTCCCTTGGAGCTTAGAACCCTTAACAGAGACAGGCTTTAAATAAATATACAAATAAATAAACAAGATGTTTCTTAAGAGCACTAACTTAACCGAAAATAAAACTGTGGTAGGTTGGAAGAATTAGCCAGGAGAGGGGAGATGGGGGGAGCTGGTCTCGTGGCTTTGGACTGAGAGGTCAGGGAAGGCCTCTCTCAGGTAAGACTTGAGTGGCGAGCAAGAGCACAGAAGCACAGAAAGAACGTCCCAAGCAGAATTAACAAGTACAAAAGCTTGGAGGTGGGGATGGGTTTAGCATGTTTGGAGAGTGGAAACAAAGCCCCGTGGCTGGAGGTAGGGAGTCAGCGGGGAATTTTGGCTAGGGCCAGGTCATGGGGCACGGGGCTTGTGAGCCACGGTGGAGTGGGCTTCGTTGCAGCACAGGGGGAAGCCTTTTGAAGCAGTTAAGCACAGAGTAATGATCTGGTGAGTGGTGGGGCAGGGAGGAGGCAGCCCACTGGGCAAGGCAGGGGAGCCCAGGCTCTGCTGGTGATGCTGGGACTGATGCCTGGGGCACTCAGCTTCCAGAACCTGGGGATCCAGTGTGTGAAGAAGCGGGACCTGGAGCAAGCCATCAGTCAGCGCATCCAGACCAACAACAACCCCTTCCAAGGTAAGGGGTGATGGGATAAAGCCCTGGGCCTGCCTGGAGCACCCCCAGCCTCTGTCACCCTCCCGAGGCCACCTTCCCTGCATCTCTCCCGCATTGGCCAAGACTCACAGTACAGATGGAATCTTGCTGCCCATTCAGTACACACTCCCATTTTACCACTGGGGAAACAGACCCAGAGAGGGACATGACATCCAGGGTCACAGGTGGGTCACACAGGTCAGTGACGGGTCAAGAACCTTCTCTTTCTCCTCCTGTAGGGACTCCCACTGTTTGACAAACAACAATTGTTTCATGCACCCTCAAACAATCCTCCCAGCCCAGAGCTCCCTGCCCCCACTTCATTCCTTGTCCTGCTCCCCCCGCCCCACCCCCGACCTCCTGACCATCTGTTTTTCTGGCAGTTCCCATAGAAGAGCAGCGTGGAGACTATGACCTAAATGCGGTGCGGCTCTGCTTCCAGGTGACAGTGCGGGACCCGGCAGGGAGGCCCCTCCGCCTGTCACCTGTCCTTTCTCATCCCATCTTTGACAACCGTGAGTGGTTGGGAGCCATGGGAAGGGGAGAGGGAAGCACCTTGAGGGGAAAGGGGTTTGCCCGGTACGGCCTGTGAGAGACCTGGGTGCATTCAGTCGCCTGGCGTACTTGTTATCCCTTCCGTGCCCAGCTCTGTGCTGGCTGGGGAGACTTGGCAAAGATGACCTCGAAGCAGCCTGACTGCAGGGTGACGGGAGTCAGAGGCGGGGAGACAGCCATTTCCAGAATATGTCCAGAACTGTACTAACAACTCCAGGAAATGAACTCCCAGGAACAAGATAATATTAGAGAGTAATAATTCAATGATGAAAGCTCACAGGAGGTTCACAGATGGACTGGGCCAACAATGATCACTCTCGCATTAAGTAAGATGAATGAAAATAAAAGGGCTTTGGAGCCCCAAAGACGGGAACCAGGAGGAACCAGGGGTCAGGGGGAAGGCTTCCTTGTTTGGCTGGGTATGAACTGATCCTTGAAGACTGCTTAGGGCAGGTGGAGAAAGAGATGGTGACATCAGGTTGGCCCCCACTGGGCTGGCAGCTCCATGAGGGCAGAGAGTTTTTAGGTTTTCTGCATTGTCATATTCTCCACACATTGGACAGTGCTGGGCATTCGCAGGTGCTAGTAGATGAGTACTTGCTGAATTGGTTGTGGTGAGGGGCCAGTGGGAATGCACGAGTGTGAGTCAGCAAGCTCTGGATAGCCTGACTCTGGGATGGGCAGGGATGTTGCATCTCCTTTAGGCCAGCCCCGAGACCTCCGGTGGCTCAGGGCTTCCTTCCTTATTCCCACACCTCAGGCGCTCCCAACACTGCTGAGCTCAAGATCTGCCGAGTGAACCGAAACTCTGGGAGCTGCCTTGGCGGAGATGAAATCTTCCTGCTGTGTGACAAGGTGCAGAAAGGTATACACCAAGAAGCAGGGCTGGACACTGGGGCAGGAGGTGAGGGCCAAGGCTGAGCAGAGGATGATGAGTTCAGGGAGCTGGCATTAAATGCTACCCCCAACACCTCAGGGCCAGCAGTACGATGTATGTCAGGTGATACGTGTCAGCACTTGGGGGCAGCAGGCTGTGGGTGAGCTGAGCACACTGACCCACCCTGCTGCCCATCTCCTGCAGAGGACATTGAGGTGTATTTCACGGGACCAGGCTGGGAGGCCCGAGGTTCCTTTTCACAAGCTGATGTTCACCGACAAGTGGCCATTGTGTTCCGGACACCTCCCTATGCAGACCCTGGCCTGCAGGCCCCCGTGCGTGTCTCCATGCAGCTGCGGCGGCCTTCAGATCGGGAGCTTAGCGAGCCCATGGAATTCCAATACTTGCCAGACACAGGTACACAGCTGGGAGGGTAGCAACGGGACTGTTTGGCTCCAGTCAACGAAAGTGAGGCCAGGGTTGGATGTCTGAGGTTGTAGTTGAGGGTCAAAAACAAGTTGGTGCAGAGACTTATACACTGAGCAATCATACTCCCTTTCTTGTCTCATTTAATAACAATACCAAAGACTTATTGAGCTCTTAGTATACACATGGCCCTATTCCAAGCATATCAGTGAATTATCTGATTTTATTCTCTCATGACCCTTTTGAGGTAGGAGATAGCATCTAACTTGCCTGAGGTCACATAGCTGGTAAGTCACAGAGCCAGCACTTGAACCCATGCCATCCGGCTCCAGGGTCGTGTTGCTCTGCTGTGTCTCTTGTCCCTCCCGCATAGCCATGATTTGGTGAAGGCTTTTGGGGATCTGACTACAGTAGGCCAGAATGATTCTCTGTCCAAAGCCCATCATCTAGCCTGAGAATATTTTCTACCCTAGAAGCAGTCTGTTAAGAGTTTGGAAGACAACCCCCAAAGCAGCCATCAGTTAATTCCCCAATTAGAAACCCTGAATGCCCACTTGGTACCAGGGCCTGTGCCAGGTATTGTGAATACAAAATGAATAAGATGTGTTTCCTGCCCTTTGGAAGCTCAGGCACATGAGGGGAAACGAACATTGAAAACGGATCCTTAAGTCACAGAATGACATGTGAAATGGAGGGGAGTTGTGTGCAAAGAGCTGGAGATGCGGCCTAGAGGAGAGGGTTGTGGAAGAATGCATGGCACATTTGGGGGCAGCATCGTGGTGGGAGCTCATGTAGGGCAGTGAGCAGGCCCAGGCAGGAGCGCCCTGAATGCTTAGCTCAAGGCATTAATCCAGGGCAGGTGAGGGAACAGCAGAGGAGAGAACAAGGTGTTTGAGGCGGGATGGTGAGGTTGGCTTTAGACTGATAGCATTGAGTGCTTCGGAGTTAGTCTCACACTGCATAAGTTAGAAAGACCGTTCTGGAATCTCCAGACTGAACTGAAACCCTCAGAGACAAGGATAAGAGTCTCTGTTGAAGTCTGAAACAAACCTGTCATGCTTCAACTGCTCCAGAGAGCAAAGAGATTATTGCTAGGCCTGGGTCAAGGCCTGAGGTTAGTTAGGACATGAGCGATGCAGGTTAACAGAATAAGCTGGAGACACAGGCTCCGTGAGAGCTCCTGTCCCCCAAGAGCGTAGCTGCCTGCAGGCACCCTTGTAGCCTTCAGAGGGGCATATTCAGCCAAGAGAGGCCTTCTCAGAAAGCCATGGGATTCTCAGGATTGTTGGGTGTCACAGTGTCATGTAGCTCTTACTGGCTGGGAAGGTTTGGAAAAAGAGTTTTAGGAAAGCTTGGTTCACCTTCCTACTGAAGGTCATTTGAAAGCTTTAGGGATCTGGCGGAGAAGAGCAAGACCCACTTCTCCCCATTACTTTTCCAGATGATCGTCACCGGATTGAGGAGAAACGCAAAAGGACATATGAGACCTTCAAGAGCATCATGAAAAAGAGTCCTTTCAATGGTGAGAGGGCAGCAAGGAGAACTAGAAAGCATGGGCTGGGAAGGGGAGACCCTGGGGGCTGAGATCTCACCCAGCTTTACCCTGTAGGACCCACCGACCCCCGGCCTCCACCCCGGCGCATTGCTGTGCCTTCCCGCAGCTCAACTTCCGTCCCCAAGCCAGGTAAGGATTTCCTGTTCCCACCAGAACTATAGGCTCAAGTCTGTTCAGCCTGTGGTTTATACACCTGGGGGCCGAGGGGGGACAAGCAGTCAGCCTCGCCAGCAGGTGTCTGAAGCCTACTTTCTGTTGGGTTTGTTTCGAGTAAGGCCTAGTTACCTAAGTCAGAGCTATCTAGGGAGCAGTGAAGATGCAGATTCCAGGGCCCTGTTGCAGACCTGCAGAATCAGAGGCTTTGAAAGTGCTGCCCATGAACCAGCAATTTGCAAGGGACACTAATGCACACACAAGTCTGAGAACTGCTGTGCCTTTTAAGCTCCATACTGGATATAGAAGTTTAAAAATGTACAGTCTGTCCTCAGCTTTAGTTGAATTAGGGAAACAAATAAATCACCTCAGGTAGCAAACTGTATGTGCTGGTGTGTGGCTCAAAAAAGAGTGACAAAATGCATTGCTTCAGGCCTCTGCTCCCTGGGGGCTCCTTGGGCCAGTGCCCTCTTGGGGCTTGGCTTTTCAGTTACAAAATGAGGTTTTTTACCAACTGATCTCTGAAAACATCCCTTTCTTTAAAGGCTGGGGGAGATTCGTGGGCTGGAGTAATCAGGGAGGGCTCCAAGGAGGAGGTGACGCTAGAACTGAACCCTACAGGCAAGGTTAGACTGGGTAAGCAGAGGGTGCCAGGGAGCTGGCAGTAATCCGTAGGGAGGGATTGAACCTTAGCACTACTAACCAGCTGGGGAAAGAGGATGTGGGAGGTGGTCTCCAAGGCTTCCTCTGACCCCTGCCTCTCCATCTCTCTCCTCCAGCAACCCAGCCCTATCCTTTCACGCCATCCCTCAGCACCATCAACTTTGAGGAGTTTTCCCCCATGGTCTTCCCTTCAGGGCAGATCCCAAGCCAGACCTCAGCCTTGGCACCAGCCCCTGTCCCAGTCTTGGCCCAGGCCCCAGCCCCTGCCCCAGCCATGGTATCGGCTCTGGCCCAGGCCCCAGCCCCTGGCCCAGTACTAGCCCCAGGCCTCACTCAGGCTGTAGCCCCGCCTGCCCCCAAGACCACCCAGGCTGGGGAAGGGACACTGACAGAGGCCCTGCTACAGCTGCAGTTTGATGATGAAGACCTGGGGGCCCTGCTTGGCAACAGCACGGACCCAACCGTGTTCACGGACCTGGCATCCGTCGACAACTCTGAGTTTCAGCAGCTGCTGAACCAGAGTTCTGTGGCCCCACACACAGCTGAGCCCATGCTGATGGAGTACCCCGAGGCTATAACTCGCCTGGTGACAGGGTCCCAGAGGCCCCCTGACCCAGCTCCCACTCCCCTGGGAGCCTCCGGGCTCACCAACGGCCTCATCTCTGGGGATGAAGATTTCTCCTCCATCGTGGACATGGACTTCTCCGCCCTTCTGAATCAGATCAGCTCCTAAGGGGGTGATACCTGCTCTGCCCAGAGCACTGGTTTGCAGGGCATTGAAGCCTTCCCAAAGCAAGCACATATGGATTCTGGGGTGTGTGCTCCATCTGCCCCCAACTTTAGGTGATGTCTTCCTAGGAAGGGGAGGATGCATTGTATTTTATTGGCAGTATCTCTCTCTTTTTGGAGGTGCTTAAGCAGAAGCATTAACTTCTCTGAAAAGTGGGGGAGCCGAGAGAACTCAAACTCTTTCTTCCTTTATCCTGGTGTCAGGTCCCTTCTCCCTATAGGGAATTCTGGGGGGCCTCATTCCCCCTCTCCAGCTTCTAGTACTCCTAGAGAGGGACAGGCTGGAGCTATGGCCTTTGAAGCCGCAGAGCCTTATTACCAAGTGTCTTCCTCAAATCATGGATTCATTCACACCTTGAGCCAAAATAATGCCTGTTACCAGCCCCTCTGTGGTGCTGACAATGTCCTTGTGCCTAATACCAGCATTTGAGGGGCTGACTGGCCTTCCTGCCCTGCAGAGGTCTCTGCTGTTTCCTTTCTCAGCTGTGGCTGAAGGGAACTAGTGGGGCGGTGCTGGCCCTCTCCAGGATCAAGGGAGGTTCAGTCTGAGACTTCCCTGTTCTCCCTTTTTTCAAGTGCCATAATAGTAGAGCAGGTTGATTGGCGAGTGGGTGGGGAGTACAGAGTGGCAGCTCTCCAATCAAGAGGCTCAGTTTTTACTGAAGAATCAAAGCAGTTGGACCTTTGCTCTTTTTACTCTGAACTAATAAATTCATTGCCAAGCTGGCCAGAGATTTGCCTTCTTTCAGCAAATGCTTGGCACACTCTTTACCGGTCATGTCACATGGGACGTTGATGACCAGAGTTGGTTGAATACTTACACCGTAATCTGTATGAAGCTTACAGTCTGAGGATGCCCTTGGAAACCTCTAGGTACTACCTGTGGATGGAAGCAGGCAGCTGTGGGTGGGTGTTCAGTTTAGTGAGAGCCCATTAAGGCCCATTGGCTGTTTTCAAGAAGGACTTCACAGAGGCCACATGAGTTTTAGGTCTTAGTTCAATAGAGGGTCATGGGTCTCACAGAGGGGCTAGCCAGCGTTCCTAGGTGAGTGGGATAAGAGAAGTTGGGAAGATTCCCTGGGACCAGGCTTTAGAAGATCAGCCACAGGTGACCACAGTTTGGACTTCATCTCTTGGGTGGTCAGGAGACACTCTGTTGTATCTGTTGGGGAAGAGGATGTGCCAGGCAAAAGTTTATGCTTTGGTACCCTGTTCTTCTAGGACCAAAGAAGCCTTATATCCGCAGCCCCAAGAGGCCTAAACAAATGTCAGGCCACTGCCCAAATGGCTAGAGCTACATGTTGCTAGAAGAGCCAGATACTTCCGGTTTGACCCGACGCACGCGCAGTAGGGTTAATGAAAGTCCTCACGTGCGCATGCGCACAAGAGATTCTGCAACGGGAAAACCAGGTGAAGCGCGTCGGAAAACTATTTTGGGGCCGATATCGTTTATGTTCCGGGCTTCGCACTGTTGCGGGAGGGTGAAGGCGGAGGCAAGCAGGATATTAGTGAGACATTGCAAAAGCTAGTGCATCCTCTGGGAACACTGTAGACCTGGGCTTAGATCAGTGGAAGGAAGAGGCCAGCAGACGGCGGAATGTTGAGGAACCGGAAAGTGCCTGGGCAGTCGAGCTAGTGCGCCAGACTCTTGGCCAGTGGGCGGAGCCTGAAGCAGCGCAGGCCACTCAAGGACGAGGCCAAGCTGTACTTCTGCGCGAGGGGCGGAACCCGAGCGTGCCAAGCAGGCCAGGACCCAGAGGAACGTGGCGTGGAGCGCCCGGGGAGGCGGGCCTGGGTGGAGCCGAGGCACTGTGGGCGGGGCCAGGGCGAGCCAGAGGAGGGACGTGGGAGGGTGAGGGGTTCTAACCGGAGGATGCCCGTGACGGAGCCCCAGGGTGGAACAAGTGACCCCAAGTTCTCCAGCTCGGGCCACGCCTCTTCTTTTTTGGCTTTTTCAGTGCCCTGCTGTGACCTCCCGAGATCACCGGAATAGCGTTTTCATGGCCCTTCCCACACTCCCTTGGTGACCTCATCATGCTCACGACTAATCAATCCAAAGGCTTGTCTCCAGCCCAGACCTGTGTCTTGCGCGAGCCCACCAAACATCTCATTGTGACGGGTCGAGGGAGTGCCAGGCTTGGGGGCTCAACTACTACATGAGAGGTGAGGCCTGCATTTGGTGAAGGGCCTTGCCAGGTGAGAAGGCCTTTATGAGCGGACATGGTCAGCTCTCAACCCTAAGCTTGGTCGGTCCCCAGCTCTGCAGATCTACTCTCTGCCTCTGCCCCTGATCTCAGCCCCTCAGATTTGGTTCCAGGCCAGGGGCCTGGCTGGGCCTGGCTCAGACGACTAAGCAGAACTAGATGTGGGGTGTGGCCACCTGCTTCTCATCAGACCAAATAAATGTTGTGGAAAAGAAGCCAAGGAGTAGCCTAGCTTCAGAGAACCCCCTCAGTGAATGTCAGCCCAATCCTGAGCCAATGTCCCCCAGGGCCTGCCCTCCAAAGTGGTCCTGGGAATTTGCCCTGGGCCTCTAGGGGCAAAACCCCATCCCCTGCCAAGAATGAACACCCCCGCAGACACAAATAACAGTCGCTTCTTTACTCCCTGAAGTTCCCCTTTTCTCTACAGAATATTTACAAACAGGGATGGGGTAAGGGCAACTTCACCACCAAATAATGGGCTGGGGAGTGGGGGCAGTGCTAGGATGCGCCTCTGCGCAGGGAGAGTTCCTGAGGAGGGCCTGGGGCCCGGTGTGACCCAAGTGTCCTGAAGGACCTGAGCAGGTCCATAGCCAGGCTGAGGCTGGACCAGACAGTTCAGGCCAGGTCAGTGGTGGGTGAGCCCAGCTGCTTGGAGGCCAGAAGCAGGCGGGTGGCTGCACTCTCTGATTCAGCCTGCAGCCGCCGGTTGTTGTGCCGTAGATTTCGCACCTCCTCCTCCAGGGCTGCCCTATCGGCTTTCTCCTGGGACGCAGGGAGAGGCAGTTGTCAGAGCAGCCAACCCCCTTTCCCAGGCAGCCCTGTAATTCCCCACCTACCCCAGCCCATCCCATCACCTTCTGCAGGTCATCCTGCAGCTTCCTGAGCATGGACTCCAGGTGAGAGACCTTCTCTGACAGGCTCCCTGGTTCTGGCCTGAGGACATGGAGGTCAGGACTCAGCAGGACCAGGGTAGAGGGCAGCACCACAGGCTGGCTCCCAGACCCACTTGAATGGGAGGGGCCTAACTCTCGTCTTCTCAGACTTATGTGTATGTGAACGGGACAGTGCTTAACTCCAATGGATGGATGCAAACGGGATCACATAGGATGGAGAAAGGACTATTTCTGGGTGGGGAGACTTACTCAGCATCAGACTTTGGAGTTCCCTTGGCATCTCCACTCTCTGGGATGGGCTGTCCTGTGGGGGCAGAAGGACCATTTGGGCAAGTAGGTAAAGGGAGAAAGAGCCCCAGCCTGGCTCAACCCCGCAGTGCTCTGGTGGCCTCACCCTCCCGGGACAGCGACTCCAAGATGGTGTTGCAAGTGGAGGCAATCTCCGAGATGGACTGCCACTCGTCTTCCAGGGTCTCACTGCCTGCCTCTGACATGACTGTGGGCACAGGGAGGTGGGTTCAGCCAGGGCAGCCCAGGCCAGCGCCCCCCTCCTATGCCCACTCACTCCATACTCACTTTTGCTGATGGAGTTCCGCAGAGACAAGGTTCTTGGCAGGAAGGAGGCCCTCAGCTCTGGGGCTGAGTCACCCCTGTCCTCACAGTCACTGGGGCTTCCTAGGCCGTCCTGAGGAGCAGAAATGGGTATGGATGCAGTGACACCCACCAGCACCATGTGCCCAGCTCGCTCATTGGGCTCTGGAGCTTTGTTTCTGCTCACCTGGGTGGGGGGTGTCTCCCCGCCAGCACTAGGTGTTGATGGCTTGGCCGTGGTGGCCAGGAGGAGGTCAGGGGTGGTGTTGGGCAGAACTGGGGCCTCATCTGATAGGGAACTGGTGAGAACAGGGACAGTTCAGCACAAGAAGGTGTATGCTGTGTTCCCTGCTTTCACAGAGGCCTGCCTGTGCCTCTGCAGGTTACAGAGGGAAGGCCAAGAGGGGGCACCTGCGGGGTGATGGTGAATTCTGGCTGTGCAGGAACTCAGTCCTCTCCTCAGCCAGATCCCCAGGCCCCGCAGGACTGCCACTGTTGTGCAGGCACACATGCAACAGCTGCTTCGTGGCAGGCAGCAGGGTCACTCCTGGGGCCTCATCCTGCACTGGCTCCGGGGCCCCACGCCGGCCGGGCTCCTGCAGGGACAGCGCGTACAGCTCCGAAAAGCTCCTGCTGGGGACGAAGGGGCAGCGTCAGGCAGGAACAGGTTCCCCCAGCATCCTGCCTCATCAGCACTGCTCCCAGCTCTGGCTGAGGCTCACTTGCAGAACTCTCCAAACTCCCTAACACAATGAAAAATGTTTGCCTGATTACTAGCCAGTTCATCCAGACTTAGGTTCAAATCCCACTGCTTCCTCTGTATTATCTGGGCAAATACTCTTAACATCAATTTCTCCATCTGTGAAGTGGGGATTACAGTACTGATCCCATAGCTTGCTGTTAGGATTTTAAATAACCACACAGGTAAATCACTTAGCATAAAAATTTAAACACTATTTTGAATGCTGTTCCTGCCTGACACTGCCCCCTTTCTCCCGGCCTGGGGATCAAATCCAACCTGTGCTTTTTTCCCTTTTTTTTTTTGCAGATGTGTCTGTTTTTTGTACTCCTGAAAGCCAAAAAATGGTTTTTTACCTTTTTAAATAGTTGAAAGAAATCAAAATAATATTTCATGATATGTGAAAACTACATAAAATTCAAATTTCAGTGTCCACAAATAAAGCATTAGTGGAACACTGCCATTCTTTCACATGTCAGCTATAGATGCTCCGGTGCTACAGCCGAGTTGGTAGCAGCAGCAAGGCCAGGTGGGCCAGGAAACATAAAATATTTACTATCTGGCCCTTTACAGAAAAAGGTCTGCATATCCTTGGCTTAGCGCAATAATGTTGTGTATTTGTGCATGGGGGTAATAACACTTTAAAAAGATATTGGGGGCTGCTATTTGATTTTTTGAGCAAGGAGGACAGTGTGCTTAGTTGGCTTCATTCTGGACAGTGTGGGTCAGAGATTGAGACGTGGGATTCTCAAGAAGTTAAGGCCTCCACACGGTATTCCTTAGAGAATGTTAATGGAGTGTTAATGGAAACACTGAGGGTGGCCAGCTGCCCATCCTCCCACCCCCTGGCGCCCTGACCTGCGGGGTCGGCCGCTCTCGTCTGGGGGCAGGACCGTGACGCAGACCTTGGGCGCAGAGCGCAGCAGCTGGGCAGTGGCCTCTGGGCCAAGGCTGGGCAGCGCCTGGCCGCACACGCGCAGCAGACGCGCCCCGGGCCGCAACCCCGCAGTCTCTGCGAACGTGAAGCGCTCCACGTGTGTGATGAAGCCCTCGGCGTCCACCTCGAAACCCAGGCGGCCTTGGCCGTCGCGAGGCAGCGCCAGCTCACGGGTCTCGCAGCCGCGGCTCACCAGCTGGGGTGCGGCAGGGCGTGAGCTGGACTGCCCGGAGGAGGGCCCCCGGGCCACCCAGACCTTTCCACACCCCCTGAGGCGGGCATGACTAATCCACCTGGCAGATGAGAGCCCGCGACTCAGATACCAGAAGTCACTCGCCCGAGGGTCCCCCGTTCAGGCTTCCCCAGCTGCCAGGCTGGGGGTGCCCGCCCCCTGACTTTTCCCTCCAGAGAAGCCGCGGCGGGCGCGAGGGGTTCCAAGGCAGGCTCCACCCCCCTCCCCCCAGGCCTCACCTGCAAACGCGCCACCACCTCGCCGACCGCCTGGCCGGGGGGCCCGTCGAGCCGCAGCGTGATAGCCTCCCCGCGGCCGTGGTACAGGTCGAGCTGCTGCTCGGAGAAGGTCCAAGCCAGCACGTCGCGACAAGCACTGTTGAAGACTACGCGGCCGTCGCGCGGAGCCACCAGCACCAGCGCTTCGGCCGAGATGCCCAGTAGGCAGGGCACCTCGGCGCGGTCCGGGCCGCCTGTCTCGGCCGCAGCCGCGCCCCGCGCTCCGGGCGCGGCGCGCACACCCCACACCAGCGCACCCGCCGCCTGCAGCTCGGCGCCCGGGCCCCGAGGGGGCGCCCGCCGCCTCCCGCCCAGAGAGGGCAGGCCAAAGCGCGAAACCGAGTCCAGCGACGTAGTGGTCACCTCGTTGGTGGCCAGATCCTGCAGGTACTGCTGGCGTGTGCGCGTGGCCATGGCGTGGAACTGACGTGCGTGGCCTGCTGCCTGCTCGCCATTGAGCGCCTTGGCCAGCAAGAAGGCCCGGAAATCAGCGTTGGCGGTGAAGGGACCTCCGCCAGGGGGCAGAACAGGCCCAAAGGCGGGTGTGTCCTGGGTGCGACTCACTGCCACCCTGCGAGGAGGAGGCGCGACAGTCAGGTGCAACTAGGGAGGGTCTGTGGCTGTGGCATAACTGGGACGACACTGGTGCCCACCTGTAGGAGGTGTGAGAAGTGCACGGGGCGTGCGCCCGCACCACTAGGAACACATGCTGGAAGTGTGAGCGGATGGTGGTGGGGCAGAAGGGCTTACTGCCGGGTTCCTGGAACACTATGGTCACAATGTCGTTGCCGATGTGGCGCTTTCGCAGAAGCTGGGCGTTAGAAGGGGGGTGTGAGCAGGGCCTGCTGTCTCCCCAGGTCCCCCCTCATAGCCGCAGGATAGTGCCTGCGCACCAGCGGCTCCTCCCCCACCTGCCCCTGGGGTGTTTGAAGAGGGACAACTTCAAGGAGAGTTGGAGGGAGGGGGGACAGACAAAGCCCAGGCCAAGACTCAAATATTGCCACCCACATTGTACCCCCCCATGGCTCCTCAGAAGCCCCTGGCTAACCCCCGCCCACATCCTAGCCCCCTCACACCTGCTGCTGGTTGTTGGGGGTGTAAGGTAGCATCGTGGACACATGGAACATGATCTCATGGTCTTGGTATGTGGTGTAGAGAGAGTGTGTCCCTGTCGAATCCGCTGTGGTCAGGAAGTTGGGTACACAGGGAAAGCAAGAGGAATCTCAGTGGCTTGAACCTGCTGTCTCTGCATGCAGTCTGGATGCTAGTTAACCCTTCATGCATCCACCAATGTCCAGGCCTCAAGGTCTAAGGACCTCAGTCTTGGCTTCTCCCCTTGCCCTCCCCAGAGAGGCTCAGCCTCCAGCCAAGGGCAGGGTGGGGCAGGGTGGGGGGCAGATGTTGGCCCAGGCACCCGCATACGTAGAGTAGCGGAGAGAGTAGAAGGCAGGCACGAGGTGCTCGATAAAAACACCTCCCAGGTGGGGCCCTTCCAACTTGGAGGCTGGGCTGGTAGAATATGTGTGTTTGATGGTGGGGTGATGCCCCCAAACCCCAGCCCCAACTCGGGCTGTAGAGCACGAAGACCGTTGGAGGACAGTCCTATCCGCTCCTCCCAGCCCTTGGCTTGGCCTTGTCAGCTCCTCACTGATGTCCCCACTCTACCCAGAGAACTCTCCAGCCCTGGCCCCGACCATAGGACAGTACGGGACAGAGAAGTGATAAGGCAGCTTGCTCTCCCCAGGGCAGCCTGCCACGCAGCACAGGTATGCCCCACCCTCCAGCCCCTGAGCCTTACTTTTGGTGTCCAGCTGGGCCCGGTAACTCTCGAAGCCTTTGAGCCGCACCACATCGCCCAGCAGGGTGAGGAACTGCATGAAGGCTGGTCCTGCCTCCTGGTTGTTGTACATCTCCTCCTCCGAGCCCTGGTTCGCCCGGCAGTACAGGATGCCCACCTTGCGCTGGAAGCTCAGCTTGGGGAGGGCACAGGCAGAAGGCACAGGCCTCAGTGCCCCCAGCCCCTCTGGGCCTTGGGGAATGGATGGGACACTGGCCTGGGGCTGGGCTGCTTTGATGTGCGGCCCTGAGCACTGCCTCTCTAAGCTACCTGTGTGTCTTCACCTATCCAGTGGATTCAGTCTGTCCTCCCAGTGCTCAGGAGAGTAGAGGAGGTCACAGGTGGGAAGGGACCAGGAGGGGAATGGTTCTCAAGTGACCACAAGGGACGTGACTAGAGGAAAGGACCCTGCTCATTGCGCTCTCGAGCCCAATATGTTCACATTGTCATTTTATTTCAAGGCTGGCCTGTCCTCTCCCCTCCTCAGAATCCCAGGCACTCCCAGCCCAGCCTCCAGAGGCTTTGAGCCCCACACCACCTCCACTTACTCTCTGCTCCTAGCTCCTTTGGCTTCTTTCCATTTGGGGTAACTGCTCAGCCTAAGGGGCCCTGGACCCATGCAAACAAGCCCCAGGCCCCTCCTGCTCTGGCTTCCTTTCTCCATACTCAGCTGTCAATGTCCCCGGTCCCAACTTTAATTTTGCCTCCAAACCCCTGAAGCTCTGCATCCATCTAAACCCTAGCTCCCTCTTACAGGCCCCGGGCATGGCCTCACCCTGGCACCCTCTCGCCTGGAATGGCACTTGGGACTTCCCTTTGCCTGAAACCCCAGGGACCCCACACTCTTGTGCCTGGGCTGCTTCTCCACCCACTCTCCTTGCCTTCAGTGACTGCAGTAGCCAACTGCATGACATGACACCCCTGCATCTGCCTCTAGCCCTGAACCTTTTCCAGAGCTCCAGACCCATTTCTCCAGCTGCCAGGACGTCCTCTGCACCTCACCTCCTCATTGTGATTCTCCCATCCTGCCCATCAACCCTAGATTGCCACCTCCTCATCACCTCTGCCATCACTACCATAAGGTCTGGCCTGGATGACTGCAACAGCCTTCAGTCCGGCCTCCCTGTCCCTCCAGCCTAGCCCCCACATTGCAGGCCAGATGGCTGCTCCACCTCTCAGATCTTCCATAGCTCCTAAATGCCCTCAAGATCAAATGCAAGCTTTTCCTATTTCTTCCTCCCAAGCCCTACTCCAGTCACACTGAAGGCCTACAGGATCCCAGTGTGACCCGCTTCAGTCACTGAGCCATTGCTCAGGTAGTTTCTTCTGCCCAGAAAACCCCTCTTCTTCCTCGCTCAAACCCGTGCATTTCCTCCATGATGCTAAACCCCTTCCCAAGGAAGGGCTGTCAGCATTACCTTGTTTCCCCAAGAAGCCCTTAACAATCCCCTTCACTGTTATCCTGCCCCACAATTACCCACGATTCTCTGTGGGTCTCTCTCCCCCACCTGGCCCTGAGCTGGTCTGGACATGTCCCCGGCATCCAGTCTGGGACCTGGCACCAAGAAGGTGTGCAAAGTGTCTGTTGAATGATCAACAGACTGAATGACAGGAAAAGAATCAGGGCCAGCTGGCACCTTTCAGCACAGGGTAGGGAAGGACTTCGACTGTGGGCTTGAGCGGTCCCACAGTGGAATGCACAGCTCCAGGAAGGAGTGAGCGCCTTGGGCCTTGCTGAGCAAATTGACAAGAGAACGAGAGGGACTTGCAGGAAGCGGGAGTTGCGGGGAGGTGTCAGACCAGGGCTTCTCAACTGAAATGTACTTAGGAGTCACCTCGGGACTTCAGCACATTAGCAGGCTTTGACTCAGTAGGTCAGTAGGTCTGGAACGAGGCCCAGGAATCTGCATTTCTAAGAAGTTCCCAGATGATGTAGATGCTGCTGGTCTACAGACCTTACTTTGAGAGGCAAGGCCCCAGATGACTTCTGACGTGCTCTTGCTGAAAGGCCAGCTGTCCTGGGCCAATTCAGGATCAGGGTCAGAGCCAGGTGACTGGGAGGTGGGCTGGCCAGGCTGGGTCAGACCGGGTCTACCTGTAGGGCTGGGGGACGCCTAGGCCACTCACCACTTGTTCATCCAGCGTGAGCAGCGTGCGCGGCACCTTTGGTGAAGCTGAGCCCAGGCGCAGACAGGTTGGGCTTAGCCGCGGCGCCACATGCTCCAGAAGCTTCCTCGGGGACAGGCCCCGCGGGGTCCCCGGCGGCAGCGCATCCTCCGAGATGGTGCCGCGGAGGGTCCGGAGCTGAGGAAGAGATGTAGGGGCATTCAGGATCCATTCAGGCTGTGGAGGAGGCAATCCTCTGACGCCATGACCCAGGCGCACCTGCGTGGTCCGCACAATGATGCGGTAGCTGTGCAGAGTGCCCCCTCCGCTGCTCTCCTTCTCTTCCCGCCGCAGGCTCACGGCCACTGGGCCCAGCATGTCGTCCAGTCCAAAGAAGTTCTGGTGTTCTGTAGGGGCGCCCGCATTCTACCAAGCCAAATCAGGACCCCCTACACTCTTGCCCCGCCCCTCTTCAGCCCCGCCCACATCACACCTCGCCAGACCCGGGGGACCAATGCCTGCCTGCTCCCAAGGCCGGATCCTGCCACAGCCCCGCCCACCATGCCCATGTTTCCCTCCGGGATGTCTGGGGCCCTCCCCTCGGGGCTCTGACCAGGACAGGGTTCCCGGGTGCAGGGGTTCTCAGGCGTCAGTTTTCATCTCACAGAAATGTAGATAGGGAATCTCTCTCCAGCCTGGCTCTCCAACATATGAGGATGAACCAGATGTTGTCAGGGTGTGCGTGGCTGTGGGCAGAGGCTGGGGCTGGCCTCTGGGATGTGGCTAAAGCAGGGTCCAGCAGGGGCAGGTTTGGCCCTGGGGACAGAGCTCAACCCTTCATACAGCCCAAGACTTGACAAGGAAAGGACAGCTCATGAGCCCTGCTGTGTGCACTACAGCAACAGGGTGGTCTTGCCCCTCCCCAGCAGCCTTCCCTCACCTTTACTGTAGAAGTATTTGCGATAGTAGCCTGCACCCAGGTCGGCATGCTCCAGGCTGTAGGCCAAGGTTCGGTTCTGTGGCTCCTCCAGGATGGACACAGCCGCATTGGGCAGTGCAGGGGGCACAGGTGGGGACACTGGTCCACCCAGGCCCAGCTCGCCCTCACCCCCGAGCTCACTCACAAAACCAGGAGCCTCAAGCAGGAGGTCTGAGCTGGCAGTCCGGTCCTCAGCTGAGGCTGGGGTCCCCAAGCTGGACTCTGCATGGCCCCCTGTCCCCCTTGGTCTTGGAGACCAGTCAAAGAGCAGGCTCTGCACGTCATAGTGGGCAAACCAGTGGGGCTGAGGTGCTGGTGGGAAAGCGGGCTCCGGCTCCTCGGCCGGCAGCCCCAGCAGTGCCAATGGATCAGTGAAAAGCCGGGTGGGGGCCGCAGCAGGGCGGCTTGCCTCCTCGTGGCTGTGGGCACGGGCGCGAGGGCTCGCTGGTATTGGGGGCCGGGCCTCGCCTGCATCACTGCCGCTGCGCAGAAGTGGACCTCGGGCTGGCCTCGGCTCGAAGGTGTGCGGTGTCAGCGGGGGCCGTGCTGGCTGGCGCAGCTTGCGGGCAAAGAGGTCATCAGTGGGCGCAGGGGCCATGCCCCGCCGAGGACTCCCCACGCCACTGGCCCACATGGCCTGGCTCTCCAGGGGCCGGGTCTCATTGGCAGGCCTGGGTGGTTGGTGCCCTGCCGGCAGGCTGGTTCCTGCCCTAAGGGAGGAGGGGGCTGCTCAGAGGGGCCAGGGGAGAAAACAGGAACCCAGTCCCCAGCCTGGTCCTCCACCACACGGGTTGGCTTCCGGCCCCCTCCAAGATCATCAAAGCCGCTTCCGCTTTCCTGGCCACTTCCTCGTCTGCTTGGGGCTGAGGTTTCCAGCCCCCTCCTCCAGCATAGCGCTGGGCAGGACCAGGCCTGGGCTGTCGGGGCGTTGGCCCTGAGGGTCTTTGGAGCCTGGGCAGCCCTGGCACTGCCAGGGTCCTCTAGTTCTTACCCACACACCTTGGCTTTGGCCTGAGCTCAGAGTGAGGGTCCCTATCACAGCCTGGACCAACTGGATAGATGTTTTGTCTCAGCTGAGACGGGAAACCCATGGGGCCACTGGTGTCTGGGTTCTGCCCACTTGACAAAGGGAGGACGTCCTGTCCCCAGAGACCTTCCTCCCTGCCCCTCCCACTTCCTCCAGGGTCCCTGAGGAGGTGAGCACCCAGAGGCCAGGTCTCAATTCCCTGGCCCTTGTGGCCTTAATACCTCAAGGACACAGGTTCCCAGGGGGCACTGGCAGGGCAGCAGGAAAAGCAAGAGGACTTCCTTCAGCACAGGAAGTAGCCCCAACTCTGGACCCAGCCCCACACTCAGCCCCACATCCTGAGGAAGGTGCTGGGGTCACACCAGCCCAGTCAGAGGACACAAGTCACCCTGGCCTGAAGGATAGGCCCAGGCTCACCTCCAGCAGATTACTGTAGCCATGCCTGGGGGCAGGGCTGGGAGTCATGCTGATGGGGCCCCCTTGCTAGAATTGGGACCCATGGGGACCTCTGCCTTCCTTGCCTCACTGGTGCTGACAGGGAGGTCTGAACCCCATGTGGCAATCAAACTGAGGTCCAGATAAGGGGATGCTCTTGCCTGAAGCAAATCCAGGGTAGAATTAGGATTTGAACCTGGGTCTGTCAATCTCCAGGATGTACAGTGCTGCACCTGCCCCCTCCTGTCCCTGTGTGCGTAGGTAGGGGTGCAGGTGGGGGGTTGGGCTGAGGCTCAACTTCTCACAGGATGTAAGACTGAGACACCCAAGGCCCCAGGGACCTGCAAAGTGCAGAAATGTGTCAAAGGCTAGGTGCAGATGAAACTGTGAGACTGTGACAAGGAGCCACCCCCAGGTGAACCCAGGATGGAGTGGCAGCTGGGCTAGGGATGTGGGGCCCCTCCACTAGGGACCTGCTGGTGGGTCTTCATGCATCACCCAGTGACACTGTATGTGGCTGGGCTGGGAACGGGTAGGGTCAAGGGCTCTGGGCAGCCCTTGGCTAAAGCTCCAGAACCCAGCAAGGGTAGGCCTCCCAAGTTCAGAGGGCCTTCTCCCTTGGTTTCTCCTAGAACAGGCTCTGCCACTGACCTGGAGCCTCTATTCTCTCATCTCTAAAATGGGGCTAACCATTTCTGTCCCCTCCCAACACTGCTGGGACACTGAAGCCAGTAAGACCAGCCATGTGTTAAGTGTGTGGTGTGCCAAGCTCTTGGGCCTGGGCTGTGGTGTGTGTGACACGTGACGTGGGGGAAGGGGCTGAGAGAGAGCTCTGTGCAGGCCCCTGCGGGTGGGCTGAGCTCTCATTATGCGAGCATGCACAGCTCATGGGCTGTCTCTTGCTCTGGCCCAGTGCCGGCTCTGGCCCTGACTTAGGGGGTGTCCTTGGGCTCTGCCCCCCACCCAGCAGCTTCACACAGGGTCCATTGAGGCCGATACATTCCTCCCAGCCTGTGTCACTGGCGGGGAGGGGGCCAGCCCCGCCCCCACAGATCCGGAAGGCCAGGCTGCCCCAGGAGGAGGCGCTGGACTCTTCCCAGCACATCTGGAGGTCATGACCCCAGTTCTGCTGCCAGGGGGCGCGACAGATGTTTCCTCCCAGGCCTGGCCCAGGACTGGGGGCGGTGTGCAAAGGCTGGAGAGGAGGCGACCCAGGGGGAAGGGGATCCCCAGAAGAGAGGGAGCCCCGCACACAGCCAGCCCGCAAGGGTGGTTGCCAGCGCTGCCTTAAAGGAGTTGGGGGCCGTGGCATCCACTTGCCTGCACACCGGCAAAGCCAGGCCGTCTACTCAAACGAGAGAGTGGGCCGCCGGCCGGAGGCAGGAGACTGGATGTGCTGACTCGGGACTAGAGCTGGAGCCCCGAGGGTGGTTGGGAGGGTGCAGGGGGCGAAAGCGGACAGGAACCCCCCCCCTTCCACACACACACCACCCGGGCCCACTCCAGGCCACGTTCTCCCCTGTCTGGTCCGATCGCGATGCCTCCGGTCCCCCGCTCCCGCCGGTACCTCTGGGGCTCCCGCCCGGCGGCCGCCTCCCGCGCTGAGGTCCCGCTGCCGGCTCTCCCGCTGCCGCTCCGGGCGCCGGCTCCGCCTGGGGCGGGGCAATGCCGGGGGCGGGGCCGCAGCGGAGCGGGTGGGGCCGACCCGGGAGCTTTCTGCCGCGGGAAGCGCAGCGGGTGGGGATTCGACTGCCCGGCGGTCAGCCTGGGCGCGCAGTCTGAAGGCTCGACCTGAGCCAGGTCAGCCCAGCGAGCTACGGGGCCTCCAGCCCTCGGCTGAGAAACGCTAAGAGTACCCGCCTTCCAGATCAACTGGGAGGGCTGACTTGGACACTAGCGCCCAGCTCCGGCTGGTGCACAGCGGGTGCTCCTTATGAGCACTTGCTAAGCCCTGGGCCCTGCTCTACACATGCTTTCATTTACTCTTAAAACACCTTAGATAGGTGTCACCTCTTATACATATCTGGAGAAATTGGAAATGGCTCTGGCTAAGATCAAGGCTCTTAATTGTAGGAGTCAGCCACTGGAGATGAAATCTTTAAATATATGGGGGTGAGAAGGTGAACTTCAGATCAAGGCTTGAAAAGGGAATAAGCTTGTGAGGAAAGGGGAACTAGGCCTTCTTGGTCTGACCCCACTTTGGTCTGACCTTGATCTCCCTCAGAACCCGGCCCCACATTCTTCATCCCCCTCTTCATGCTCATCCACCCTGACCTGGCCATTTTCTCAACCCTCCACCCAAATATTCTTACATAGAAGAATAAACCACCAACCAAAATCAAAAATAGTGTTATTAATTCTGGTATCTCCGAAGCACGAAAAACAAAAAATTCAAAGAAAAAGGAAAAAACCCACCCTTCCCACATTTCAGCCCCAGGTCCAGGCCGAAGGGCTGCCCCTGCAGGCAGTGCAGGCCCAAGAGCGGAGTCAGTCCTGGCCACGGGCTTGAAGAGGGACCAGCCCATGGGTTTGGCTCTGAGGGCCTGGCTGGGAGGCTGCCTGCTTCAGTTTGGGGAGCCCAGGCCCTGGACTAAGGTTGAGAGATCAGGGGTCAGCATCAGAGGTCTGGGCTGCTCAGTTCTGGTGCTCTGGGTAAGGCAGCCAGAGGTCAGGGTTCAGATGTGGAAGCCAAGGCCACTCAGTCCTGTGGTCCAGCAGCTAGGGGTCCGTCCAAGTTACCGAACCCTGGGCTGGGATCCGGAGGGCACCAGGCTGCTCAGTACTGATGCTCCAGCAGGGGCTGGGCAGCCGGGCTCTCGCGCTCCTCAGCAGGGGCAGGCCAGTCACCGGGGGCCCCAGTGGGTGTGCCACTCTCGGGTTCAGTGCTGTCCAAGCAAGGAATGTCCTGGGCTGCTCTGGGGGGTGAGGCGTTGGTGCTGATATCCGGACTGAGGCTGAGGTCTAGGGGCACCTGAGGGAGGAGAGAGGGGTTGGTAGAGGAGCAGACCTGAGCTGCCCAGGATCCAAACCTCCCATAGGACCCTTACCTGAGATTTGGGGGTGCCTCCTTTGGGGCTCCCTGAGGCTGGCTCCCCCTCGGATCCCCCCAGCCCCTTCCGACCTCCCAGGCTCCACTTCCCACTGGGACCCTCAGAACTGAGGAGACCAGGGCCAGGGGGCCTTGACGGCCGGGGACCCTCAGTGGGGACAGGCGAAGCAGGGGTTGGTCCAGGGAGCCGAGGGGGTGGCCACTGCAGCAGAGGTGGGGGGCGCCCGTCACCAGAGCCACTCAGGGAGGACCGAGGGCCCCAGCCAGGGCCTGGTGGGAGGGGTTGGTCACCACTGCCTGTGGGAGACAGATAAGAGCAGATCTCAGCTAGACGGTCCTCACCCCTGGTTCAGCCTGGCCTCGCCGACTCACCTGCTGTGTTCTCAGGTGTGGGGTGTGCCAAGGGGGGGTTATTGCTGAGGGAGGTCAAGCCACCACCTCCGCCACAGTCTGAGTCGTCCACATTCCCACCGCTGTTGCAGCCAGCACCACAGCCCTTATGAAGCCTGGTTAGGGTTGGGGGGTGGGGGGGCAGAGAAGAGGCTGGCATGGGGAGGGACAGAGACCTCACAAGTCCCTAGCCCCAGGACAAGTCACCTAACATCTTTGAGGCCCAGGGTCCTGTCTTTCAAGAGATTTTGGTATCTACTTTGCAGAGTCTTTTGGGCATTATCAATGGCTCCTAAGGCTGAAGGCCACCTTCAGCTCTGGGGGTGGGGAGCTGGCACAGGGTGGAGTCAGGTCAGCCTGAGAAGGGGCTGGTCAGCTCTAGGGATTCAATCCTGGCTCCAGTACCTCCTCCCTCTGAGACCTAGGAGGAAGCTGCATCACCTATCAGCCTCAGATTCCTGCTCCATGACCCCAGGCCCACAGGCCAGGATGCGGTCAGGGCTCACCTCTCCCAGCTGTGCAGAAGCCAGCGGGCGATGGCACCCAGGCTGACAGGGCCACCCCACAGCGCACGCAGCTGGGGGTGGCTGCCGGCCAGAGAGGTGGTTAGGGGCGACACATAGATGGGGTAGCCCAGCGGCTGGTCACAGGAGGAATTGATCATGTTGCGGAGTGCCTGCTTGGCGTTCTGGATACTGCCACGCTCGGGGTTGCGGTTGCGCAGGAACACCAGCTCCTGCTGCTGTCCAGCCCACAGGCCACGCACACACTCGCGATTCACCTGCAGGAGGCCACACACAAGCGTGAGGGGGCTGGTGCCAGGAAGGGGGCCAGGTCAGGGGTGAGCCATCCCCACCTTGATGACTCGGAAGCTCAGGTGGCGTCGGTTGAGCATGATGATCTTGTACTCGTCGGAGGCGTCATCCAGGACATGGCGCAGCGCCAGCAGTGAGGGCGTGTTGCTGAGGATGGCACTGCGCCAGGCGGGGTCCCCCTCGTGCGAGATGACCAGCCGCTCCTCATTGGCTGCGATGGCGTCATACAGGGCAGCTGGCTCCTCATACTCATCTGGGGATGTGAAGTGATCCTGCAGGGAGGCAGGGAGGGCTGGCTCAGTGGCCCCTGCCCTGGGGAGGGGCTGATCTCCCACACTTGCCCACCCTGCCCGGGCACACCTCTCCCCACCTGGTGGAGCTTGAGGGCCATGCGAACCCCAGGTGCCACCACGCGATGAAGCAGGTCCATGTCAGCAAAGACCCACTCATCGCGTGGGGAGGTGATACGGAAGTCCCCCTTGAACAGGGCGTGCAGGCCATAGAGGAAGGGCTCCAGGCTGGGGAGGACCAGGAGGTGAGCATGAAGGCTTCTACAAGCAGGGACCCGGGCTGAGCCCACTCTTCGTCCTGGGCCTGTCTCCCCATCTCCACAAGTCGGCCCGCCTCTGCCCAGGCCCCTCACAGAGTGGGAGGATCAGGCAACGCCGTGACCGGGACGCGCCTTGCCATGGAGAAGAGCCACACCAGAGGAAGGCTGATGTGGTTCCTGGGGGCCCCTGGCCTGGAGGTCTTCAGGGAGGACTGGAGGGGAGAGCAGCAGCCCTGGCTGGGCCTGTGGGCACTCACCTGGCAGACATGCTGTGCGAGGCTGTCCCCAGGGCCCGGCGGCCCAGCACACATAGGCCAAAACACAGCGTAACCAGTGGCGAGTTCCAATCCTGGTCCACGGGCTGTGTCACAAAGACCCCAGTCCCCAGAGCCCAGCTCAGACCCAGCCAGGGAACTTGGGGTGGGGATGGAGCCCAGGCCGAGAGAGCCGAGGGTGTGAGAACAGGGGAGAGGGAAGGCGGAGGGCAGCCCCGGGGCGGGGGTGGCCGGACCTGGCCGCGCCGGGAGGCGCAGTACTGGATCCACTCGAGGTGCGCTGTGCAGAAGGAGGGCAGCGAGAGGCCAGAGAGGCGGAGGTCATAGTCCTCGTCCACGCTCAGCAAGAAGGTGGGGTCCGAGTCAGCGTAGCCAGGTGCCCGCACAGGCCGCAGAGCTGCTGTGATGCCCTCGTGGCTCAGCCATGCCTCCAGCTTTGGCGAGCGGCTCACGTAGTAGATGATGCTCTGGGAGGAGAGGGCAGCCATCAGGGCAGGGCCAGTGACTGCGGTAGTGCCGTCACCCTGGCTGCTGGAGGTGAAAACATTAGGGTAGAGGTTTCTAGCTAAGGTCTGCTTCCTAGGACACCCACCACTGAGTGTTCCACCTCAGCTCCCTCAAGTCATGTGGGCAAGTCTGCTCCTCTCCCTCACGCCAGAAAAGAGGAGCAAAAAAACAGACCAGAAGCCCCCCACCTTAGTGGGTTCCCCACTGCGGCAAGTGCTTCCATGCCTGCCTCAGCAGATGCCCCGTCTATACAGGAAGCCAGGGCCCAGACTGGTGACAGACTTGCCCGTGAGGCAGGGTAGACCGAGCTGGGACTAGAGCCCTAGGACCTTCAACACCATGATGCTGTGGGACCCAAATCTCAGGAGGCCTTGAAAGAGGTCAGGCCCAGGTAGTGGGGCTTCCTGGAGGCCTGCGGGGCCTAAGTACCCCTGGGCCACAGGTCCCCTTAGGCAGCTGAAGTACGTATGACAACCACAGGGCCTCCCCTCAGAAAAAAGCAGAGGCACGGCATCCTGGGCCCAAAGTCAGGGGCTGCTGGACCCCTTAAGAGACTGCTCGTTTCTCAGGAGGAGTGTGGGCAAACGGAGAGGAGCTTTTGGAAGGTAGGCAGCTGGTACACCAGGATGGATGGGCAGTGAGGCCAGCAGCTGGCAGTCAGCACAGTTATGGGATTCCATGTGCCACTGTGGGATGGAGCCAGGGTGGGCCCTCTGCCTAGGTAGAGGTGGGATGTCCAGAGCTGGCGAGGGTGGTGCAGCTGGCCAAGAACAGAGGGCATCCAGGCAGCAGGTGTCCAGCAGGGTGGCTCTGGTGGGCATGCAGGCCCTGCAACCTCCCCACCATCCCCCTGACCCTGCCCTTCACAGCCCCGGCTCGTCCTTCCCAACTTGGCCCCATGTCTTCGGTGGAACTTCAAGGTCCTCAGGACACCTCTCCCCAGCTCAGATTCTGCCCAGCCGGAGGCAGCTGTCACCGTGGCAAGTTAGCTGCCCTAGGGGACAATAAACTTGGCAGGTTTATCATCTCAGCCTGCCAGCCCAGGCCTGGCTGGCTGCCAGGGGCACACC